TGCAGATCTCATGCATTGTTTGCACTGCAGGATTGTTGCCAGCACCGTTCTCTATGGAAGCCTTGTAGTGGCTCTACATTATGATTTGTTTTTGAATATTTTATTTTTTAACTGTTGAACAAATTAGAGTATAGAGGTTTTGTTTCATGAATTACAATCGCAGTCAGATATTCCAAGTTTATCAATGCTAAAAGCTTAACTACAACTAGCATAAATTATGAAATAATGAAAGTTTCAATGAATTGTTTTCTAAGATAATATTTGTCTGGACATCCCTCAGTCTTATAAGCAACATTTATAACATATAACACTTGATTACACTTTTATCAGATTTAGTTAGGAGCTACTTTGAGCTTCTGGATATTTACATACAGTTGTCTTGTGGTTAAGTTGTCATTTTGTTGTTTCAGCTATTTTCTTCGTTTAAATGCGTTTTAATGAGGCTCAAACCTTGCACGTTTGCTAGATTAACCTTACTTCCTGAATGTGGTTATGTGGCCTTTGAGAGTCTTCAATTTTAAAATGCAGAAGCGATGTTGCACTTGAGACTCATAAACATAATTTATCATTCATCACCTTTTGTAAATGTTACAGGTGTACTAAGTGTCCTGGGAGCAATTGTTTTTCACACGGGGTATAATGTTTCGCAATACAGCCTCACAATAGACAGATGTGATGTCCAGCCAGAGAGGACAACTCAATTTGCTTTGCAGCAGGGAGAAACATTCAGCATCGATGGCGAATACTCTTTCCATGCTATATGAAATTAGGTGTTGTAATGTTTCTCCCAGTCCCTCTGTTATTTTTCCAATGTCTGCATTCCTGACTCATAACGTGTGAAAGCTGTCACACAGGGATACAAATATTGTCAGGTGAGGATGGCTGCAGTAATTAGATCAAGATTAAAGATAATTTAGTTGTGATTGACATATTTGTGATGAATGTGTATGTTTGGCAAAAGGCTTTGAGGAGGCCCTAGCTGTTATTTACTCGGCCCAGTACAACTCGGCTAATTATTCCAGAAGGAGTTGTGATGTGCATATTAATCAGGAGGAATATTCACATTTTAAATCCTGCATTCTTCACTGCTAATGTATTCCTCGCTGAAAATACCTTAAGGAGTAGAAGGGCTGCCGCTGATAAATAATGCACCGCTGATAAATGAAGCAGTGTGCAGTTTAATGTGTGTGTGTGTGTACGCACATGTGAACGCTCATTTGTGTGACACAGTCGATCTTTGACGGTTTGTGTGTTGTGTTTTGTGCCTGCAGATGATAAAAACACAGCATATGTTTCTTGCTGTACCAAAGCTTCTGTCACAACCAGCAGTCTTGTAAGGTTGTGTCCCCTGACAGAACATCTGCGGAAACTACACACACACACACACACACACACACACACACACACACACACACACACACTAGCACTGGTTTGGGCATTAGCCAACATTTCTGCACAAACACAGCGCATCTCTCTGTGTTCACATCTTGGGATACGACTTGGACAGTCGTTGTAGTGGTAAGTAACCTTCTTGTGGGGCTGGGGCTTTTTTCATACACTTCTTAGTGTGATTAAAAAAGGTCATGGCTCATGGTGGAATCATCCCATGGAGACTACACAATAGGTTCCTTCACATCCCAACACAATATAGCCTAGTATAGTTACGCTGATACATTACAAGTCACGTGCCAACTTTCTTTGAGCAGTCGAGTAAAGTCTTCATTTGTGAATATGCGTCCTATCCATCATGCAATGTTTCCAATGGTTGTACTTTGTTGGCTCCATCAGATCTCAACCGCTGGCACGGGAGGGGAGTGTGAAACAGAGTCAACACCTCCACGTCTGAGGCCTTGGTTCTCATCCGGAAGAAGATGGCCTGGGCTCTGTTTTTGTGGATTGAGGGCCTGTGCCCAGTGAAGGTGAATGAAGCGTGACCTGGACAGTCTCTTCTTTGAGGTTTTTGCGGCAGCGGACTGTTGTACCGCACTGACCATGGGAAAGAGAGGCCTGAGCCAGAAGCCAAAACTCTTTTTTTTGTCTACACCAGACAAATTGAGGTTGTGGACTTGATGGAACAAGAAATTCTCCATTTTTGTTTCTTGTTCATTTGAGTTGTGTCCTTGTGGTTGAAATGCACTTATTGAAAGTCGCTTTGGATAAAAGCGTCAACCCTAACCGTAGCCCAGCAGATAGAGTGGGGAGCTCCTCTGCATTAACTGGGGGCAGCTGATATTCAAGATTTCTGAAATACTCTGGTTAGCCTGACCTGGGACAAGCAGGACAGAAATGTGGACTGATATTGACACTCTACATCCAGCTGAAAGTAATGATATAATAATACAGCAATGATATTAAAGGGGGAACTACACCCGTTTAGAAAATTCCTACATTTTATTCCTATGGTCAAAGACATCAAATATGTTATAAATAACACCCATGGAAAGTATATGGGTCCAATTTGTGTTACATAACATACACTACTTATGCAAGGCACAAAGTTGTCTTTGTGCGTTTATTTCCTTGCAAGGGCAAAAAGGTCAAAAACTACGTGCTCAGTAGACTGTGTGAACCATACTTCAAAAACATACAGGGCAGCACAATTCTTATACCTCTGGAGACAAAGTCTGGCTATAGATGGCATTGAAAAAAATGTGAATCAACTTATTGCTCCACTACAGCTGTGAGACTGGAGGCATCTTATTAGTGTGAGACACTGCAACCCAATACTGAATTATGAACTGTTTGAATAGTAAAACATTTAAAGGGTTACATACTGTATATTGTACTCTTTTCATTAGAAAATAATCACATAATATAGGAAAACTACAGAAATCATCCAAAAATGTAGTAATGCAAATTAGTCCAGAAAACGTGCACACGTCAGTGCTTATGTACATTTTACCATCGAAGCTAGAAGCTAACAGAGAAAACAAGACACCGAATTGCTAGCCGAGACAACGCAAAGACGGTGATATCCGTGTCCTTTCTCTCAGCCAGCATCCAATATATAAATCAGAACTGCCCCGTACCTTTTGAAAAAAGCATGAAATGAATCTGTTTTTTATGTGCAAGATATGTGCATCTGCCATTGTACACGCACCACAAGCAATTTCAGCAATTTCTGCACAGGTTTTAGGGGCGGGCGGGCGGGGGGGGATCCAAACTCTCGAGCGTCCTTTTACGCTACATCCATTTTGGCATCTGAGTGGCTGAGGAAGCTGTTTCCCCTGATGTTAGTCGGGTACAATAGAACCAGACAATAAAAAAAGTGGTTGAAACCTAGGAAAATACTTTTTCTCGTTTCTCTGCCGTGAGGCCTGCTCACAAGCCTCCTCTCGAGTAGTTTCCATCAACAAGAAACTTTCCATTCCAACATCCATCATGTAGATGTGTTTTTAGCCTGGGATCTCTGTTTTATTCGACTTGGTGGGTTTTAATTCAGGGCATTCTCAAAATTCTAAGGTTCTTTTTGTGTGTTGTGTTGATGTGTTGATCGGATTTTTACACATTTAGTATACATGTATCTACAATTCTATCCATATATTCCCCTACTTTTTTTAACCTCATATGTTAGTGAACCAATTTCAAGCAACAATAAAATGTATCCACATGACTGAAGGTCACAAGACTTGAGGGATACAAAAATTGCATCAACTCTTTAGCTTTAGGGCCACAATATTTCATTACACAGAGCCTCAGGACAATTGCTGGCTCATTATACAAAGAGCTGTGTTTGTTCTACAAATTGTAAACCGTATCAGATGGGTAAGTCGCACAGATGCAAGTGACATTAAAAGGCAAATTTATGAAGATGTGTAAAAATCCAGAAAATACACCAATGAGCGCCTGACTCGACAAATCGCAGCGATTCCTGGGCTGCGAAGGTACTGCAGGTGGGCCGCGAGAGGTCATTTATATTAAATAAATAAAATGTTTTTAATTTTCAATTTTGAAAAGTTTGAAATTAATATAAAATTATTTATGATTTAAATTACGATTGATAATTGCTAAGATACAAAAAGCACATCTTTTTATTAGTTTAACAATTCTAGTGGCACATTAGTTATGTGAAATATTAATTAATGAAGCACAAACAATTTAAACGAACAGATTAATAAAACAATAAGGCTCTCGCTCAAACGGCTGCTCTTGTCCGCCTGTCGTTGTTCAACAAAAGGCGCCGCCAAACAAAACAATGTCAAACTCCTGTAGTATTAAAGTAAATGTATATGAGCTCTGGAGAAAATGGTATACAAAACACACATTGTAGGTTAATACATTTTTAATCGGTTAAATTCTTAATTCAAGGCATTCTTGAAATTGGGAACCGCTGCTCTAACGCGTTAGCTTAAGTAGGACACGTTTTAGGACTTATTCAGAATAAGGAAAACAGAAGAAATCATAATAATACAAATAATTAGTAAAGCTTTATTGCTCAGTAACAGTAGTTCAGTCTATGGTCTTCCAAAAGTGTGACAATGGCTTTGACTGGAGCAGACATACATGTGTGTCGAAGAAAGTGTTGTAATGGTAAATGGACTATATATATATATATATATATATATATATATATATAGAGAGAGAGATAAGAGCCATGAGGTTGTATTCGTGTGGGACGTCTCCCTGATAATCCCTCTGTCCACAGACTGTCCATAACCTCCATTGCGTTCATATTCTAAAGGACGCTGTTTCACGTACATATTTTCCCTTTAAGAGCCGTCCGGGTGGGGGCGGGGTGGGATGGCCTCATGTGGCCGGACAGTTCCCCTTAAGGCCGCTAGGGGCGTCTCTGCTCTATGGAAGCAGTGGAGGGAGACTGAAGGGGGGGGGGGGGGCTCCATCAGCCAAGTGCAGCCTGAGTCGTGAGGAGCGAGCGGTGGGGGGAGAATTCCCACTCTTGTTTCTTTTTCTCATCCCCGTTATTAAGATGTAGATGGTGCAGACCTGCCGCCGGGTGCAGAGACGCATGAGACCAGCGGACTTGTCCTTTGGACGGGGGGGGGGGGGGGGTTCCTGGATGTGTGTGTGCGTGCGTTGGACCGCATTCAACCTGAGTTTGTTACCTCTGGAGAGAAAAGTGCGCCAGCCTTCTTTCCAACTGCTTGAGCGTCTGTATTTGTTGGGGGGCTGAGGGGCTCCGGGAAGGACTGCGCCTCATCCTAACGGGACGTAACGCACGGAGGGATACGTGTGAGCAGCGGATGGACCCTCCCCGGACGGTAAATACACAGCGGGACTTCTACACCTTCTCTGCTACCTTCTTCTCACACTTTACCAGTGGACGGGTGGGGGGGGGCAAGTTCAACTGGATGTGGAGATAAAGCTCTCCGTTTTCTCGCCATGACGTTATTTCTGCCCTGGGGGAGAGGACCTGTGCGCGGGGAGGCTGATGGAAACGTCCGCGCGCAGTAGAACAAGCGGCACCACTTTGGGTTCTCTCGCGGAAGCGCACAACGAGCCAGATGCGCAAAACGGCTAAAACATCACCGTGCTGGAGAGGCGCGTGAACCGTCCTTCTGCTCGTGCGCGTGTAGATATGCCAGCTTGATCTCCTTTTAATGACGGAGCATTTATTGTAATGCATTATCTGAATTGGCAGGTGTTGCATATTGGTTCTAAAATGGGATTTAATCGAATGCTCACGTGGATTCCCTGAGGTTTATATAAATGAACGCAAACCTCCTCAGGCTGATTGCTGTGGGTCAGGATGGGGGGGGGGGGGGGGGGGGGAAGGAACGTTGCGGGGCCCCATTACCATATAAAACTGGATGAATGCGGTTCTTCTGTGTTCTCACAATAACATACAACAAGGGATGCGAAGAACCTGCGGATGCTGCTATGTTGCCCTTTGCCCCATCACCTGTCTCCCTAATAGCTACAGCACCGGGCTTTAGAGTGTCAAGTAGGTGCTGTTCGTCCATTTCCAAAAACACTGATTGATCATCGAGAGGCCCGTTCAACCTTTTCATGTAATCTTGAGTGTTCAGATGAACCAGCATCCGAGGTGACGCTACATGGGATCTGCTTATGACCTTTAATTAGGTTCTTAGACCCCCCCCCCCCCCCCCTTCTTTTTGTCACTGCGTATTTGTGTTCTCATCACCAGGTGCTGGAGGCAGCCTCTACAGTATTTTCATGGATGGGGAGTGGGGGGGTGCAGACCGATCGGCCCCAGGGGCCCTGATCTACATAGCTCAGCCCTCAAGGAGAACATCCACTCCCCGCTCAGCCTAGTCTTCTCCTCTTGCTCTGTGTGCTGTACATCCCCTTCATGTACGTATCAAGGAGCAGCTTCACAAATCATCCATTTCTACACCTCACGCTGTGGTGACCGGGGTTATTTCAACGGGTTCTTTACGTTCAGCTAGTTCTTCAGACGGAAGTCACGGTTTGAACTGTTTAGTGCAGTCACTTGTAAATAATGTCAGCGCTGCGAAGGCGTTCCTCCCTCACTTGAATTTAACGGAGCACTGAGGACCTTTTTAGCTACAACATGCACTCAGTGTGTCCTAGTTCAGAGGTTTTCTACTTCTAAGGACGTGGGGAAGTTGGAGCCTCCTGAAATGACACAATCTAGAGAGGATGAATCTCCAAGCTACCAGTGCATTCAGAAATTCATCAAGTCAGAAACGTTCCCGCTGACCGTCTGTAGATTAGTTCCACTAGTTTTTATTGTAATGTTTGATTTCTTAAAAGGGCCTTCTTGCACACCAAAAATCCACTAAATGATAAATCAATTCATGTCTGTAATGCCGGTGCGTTCACACCAAAAGTGAAGCAAATTATTTTCACGAGTAGATTCCATGCAAAGTCAATGCACATACACGAATGATTGCGAAAGCTAAATATAACAAGCAAAATATTTCAACTTCAACATTTCAACGACGCCGAAATATTTTCCCAACGCTGTTTTGCGAAAGCCAATCAGCGTTGAGATGATCCGCCCGTTATCACTGTCGTCCTTCTGCCAAAGCATGAATATGCTTTATGAAAGGATATAGACAGGTGAATCGCAGCTGAGAATGAACGCCTTTACAGGCGTTAGTTGGTGTCTAACCGGAGATCCTTGCACCAATCCGAGCCAACAGGTCATCAAACGGACGCGCTTCCTGGAGGAGCGACAAACTGAGCACGTTTGTGTAATTCCCACTACAAGTACAGAGCAGAAATAGTGGTTATTTTCATAGTGGAAAGCAGAAATGATAACTGTCTTTATGGAGAGAAGCCACCGAGATAAACCACACCCCCTTTCTGGCACGACATCTAGTAGGAAACGAATGAGGCAAATGAACTACAAATGGTTGGGCCAGTAAGGCCTTGCGGGCATTTCTATAAAACATAACAGCATCATTTGATATTGATTGACTTCATCAATATAGAAAAGTGCATTTACTTGGGAGGACAGGACTTGAGAGGCCTAAACTCATACTCATGCATCATGCATACAAGGTTAACGAGAGGAGGTCACTTATTCACTTGTTAATGGTTACGAGAAAGTGCCAATCATACTACTCCTGTTTTAATATGACCCAGGTCAGTGAACGGGAGCATCGGAAAGAGTTTTGGTTATTTTGTACATACATTGATTTAAAACACTTAAAGGAACACACATCAGATCTCAATGCGAAAGATTATGTTGAATATCCATACTGATATGGACAGTAGAATGTCTTGAGAATGAAAAGACGCCACATTCTTTGAGGTAAGTAAAGGTTTGTCTGCAAGGTTGGCAGTTCGAGCGCCGGCTGCTCCATGTTCCATATTGAATTGTCCCTGAGCAAGACACCTAAGCCCTAATTGCTCCCTGGGCAAAAATGTAAAAAAGCCACGGGTTAAAGATGTAATGTAAGTCGCTTTGGATAAAAGCATCAGCTAAATGACCTGTAATGTAATGGTCTGCAACTCAACATGCTTATGTGGCCCAGTTATGGCCAGTATGTATGTTGGGTATTAGCGTTCTGATTGGTTGAGAGTGAGACATGGGGGGTGCATTATAGAGCGATAATGTACAGTTGCTGTTCACATTTAGCTCTGTGGCGATTGCCGAAAACCCCCCAGAAATACCACAAATGATCAGTTTTCTAACAATACCCCCGAACTGTTACATGATTGGACGATAAAGTACAGCCTCTCGTACCTTATTCCTTATTGGTTGATTCGATTGGTGTATCATTGCGCCACCGAGGTCCTGCGACGTCAGATCAGAAGCAGCTAAAGTAGGGCTATTTTGTCGTCTTGTTCATTTGTCACAAAAGAGGGTAACGCGAGTGAAAAACTCATTTAAATTTCAGTAATTGTAACGTCGTTACTTGTTTTAAAAAACTACTTTGTTGCATGCTTGTTACCGCTATAAATAGTGGAATTACAGTAACGCGTTACTTTGTAATGTTACGTTACATCACTGCGTTACTCACAACACTGCCCATTAGTGACAATGACTCTAGCTAAAGCCAACACTGGTGGGAAACCAGTCAGGAGGTCTAGAGGTCAAGAAGGAGAAAGTTGTATTGGCCTCCACATGTGAAACCAGTCCTGTTTGGGGAGCCGTCTCATTGTTGACCCTCTAGTGCACCTAATGTTCATTCCATCAATGCCAATGCAGCTGAAACTGATTAACAACCCCTCTGCTACTTACCTGACCGGATCATTATCAGAGAAGTGCAATTGAATTCATGCCACACCCTGATAAAAGATTGTTCCTTTCATTTTTGAGCAGTGTTATTCCTAAGGGTGAGTTGTTTCAGGGGCAGGGGCAGAATCGAAGAAATAGTGATGAGATGCTGCTGAATATGCCAGATTCTGTTAAAATCTAATTACACTGGAATCATTGCAACAAGGAAACAATTACAATATTTGTTGTATGCATCCTTCTTTACTGAGACAGCAGAAAATAAATTGGGTATTGACAAAGTCAGGCTGGTGAGGTTATTGTCATTAGAAATCTGGTGTAATATAAGGAACTCCTTACACAACAGGGACTGATGCCATGATTATGCCATATTATGTGACAGATATGGAAATATTCACTATTGTACGGTGGGACAGGCCACCTCCTTCTTATAGCTGCCACTCTTTATGACGGCTAAAAAGCTAAAGAGCTTCTGTTTGCATTGAGCTGCTCTGCCTGTAACGTCTAACGTGGGGAGCAGAGAAGGTCTCCGTGGTAACAAACCACAGCTTTCTCGTTCTGAAATTATGATTCAACATGTTTTGGCAGAACCTGGGTCGCAGTTGGAGCACACTACTGTGTCTTTATTTCCACGGAAACCAAGCCATGTCACAATGAATGAAAGTCATTGGAGATGATCGTGGCCACAGATGTCAGGAGAAACATAACAGGGAAGTCGTGGTTCTACTAACAGGCACAGTCAAATAAAGAATTTGCAGATGGAGGACGGGGGAGCTGGCTGTGCCTGCTCAAATGAAATAGGCTGCAGAGTGAACAGATACCTGCATGTTATCAGTGATAGAGGTGATAAGGAACCGCAGGCAACGGAGAAGATGCTATTTTGTGCTATTTCTGCGAGGAGTCTTGTCTGCAGTCGATCCAAAACAACACTATGTATTGTAAAGGCTGTTTGGCCCTGCAACACATCAGACCAGGTTATTTGGTTAAGCACACCTGCTCTGTGTAGAAGCTCTTCTGGGCTAGCTGGTTGGTAACCACAAGATAAGACTAATCATCAATGCTTATTCTTATCAGCTACAGGAAAGGGAGGACTGAGGAGGTGGGTAGGATATGAGGAGGGACATGTGCTGCTTCCACAAAGCATGTCACCTTGGGATGGACATTCCTTTTCTTCTACTGCTGTGCTGTAGTCACGCGTCCCTTAAAATACAGAATCCTCCCGTATTTGAGAATAAAATAGCGCGTCCTGTTTTGAATCAATACGAGATGGGTCAGCCGTAGCGTTGTCCCTTATTCTGTACTAAAGGTGGCAACACCAAGACGTGTTTGCTAGTTGTAGATTTGGTTAGACTCAGCTGAAGGTACAGTGCAGAAGTCTCGCTCAACAAGGTATTAATGTTCCCACTGAGAGTCAATTCAATATGGACTAGCGAAGAATTGATTAGTCATCTCTGTGCTGTTGTTAGTTTCAGTAGAGAGTATTATGTTATATTGAATAGACAGTTGCGGAGGGGCCGTCCTCACAGAACAACTTTGCTCAGTTTGGGAAACAAACATTGTCAGGACGACTGTGGGTGAGTGGGGAGCACGGTCGTCCTCCAATCAGAGGGTTGTGGGTTCGATCCCAGGCCCGGCTAACCCGCATGTCGTTGTGTCCTTGGGCAAGACACTTAACCCACCATTGCTCCTGTAGCTGCGACTACAGTGTGTGGATGTTAGCTACTGATGGCAGGTGTCACTGTGTATGGTTCTCCTGTCATCAGTGTATGAATGGGTGTGAATGGGGTGAATGATGTCATGTAGTGTTAAGGCGCTTTGAGTGGTCAGAAGACTAGAAAAGCGCTATACAAGTACAGGCCCATTTACATTTACCATTCAGGGAGTGACACGTCATGTTAGACCTGTTATGTTCAAAAATCTTTAGGCTTGGACGAAGAACTTCCAGATACGTTGAGTTATTATATAGTGGTTTTAATAAAAGATAGAGATTGTGACACAGTGTATATTTCTCAATCGAGGGACTCCAAGCTTTCACAGTCCAGTTTGCTCCAGCTTGAGGACCATGAAACATACTTTTCAACATGGGGCGTAGTTACATGTTGCAGTTACAATTAGACATGTCTAATTACTACATAGAAGTTACATTAGCCTGTAAGACTGACTAAGGACAGTAACTGCAGAATGACACATGCTTCCACGTCAGACACCAGAAAAGTCACAGATAACACCAAAAGAATTTGAAATTCGTCGCCAGTCGCTTTGACAAAATCGGTGATCGACTAGTTCTCTGCCAGCTGTGAGCGTTCCCAATAATGGATCGTCGTCCAAATTGGACCTTTAAATAATCCTCAATCTTCGTCATATCAGCATACAACTTTTCTACTGCATACTCAAATAATTATAAATTAACTGTATTATTATTAATAATTAACAATTAAGCATATATAATAATTAACAATTAAACATATATAATCTGATATTGTTGCATTCCAAGGATTCCTAAAAATCTCTAAAGTGGTTATATTTTTAGAGGTTTGTATTGTAGTCAACTAGCATGTGGTCTAGGTTTAGAAAATCTGATGCATTAAAAAGAATTGTAATAGTGATGCTGTGGTGAGGGCCAGTGAGAGCTGTGTTCAGGGAT